CAATGTGCCAAGAGGGGCTCTGACGAGGGCTCTGATCCTCGCACAGTCGAGTAATGTCAGTGTCTCTTGGAAGTGTTGCTTGCCTATTCTTAATCACCGTCCAAGTGGGACGCAAAAATGCTTGTTTTCAAAAACCTTGGGCCTTGCTGGTAGTGTAAGCACTCTGCTTCAGTGCCAGTGCAGACCAGTTTCCCAGCATTGTCTTTCCACTTTTGGCATGATGAAACCAGATGTTAGATCACATATTGGAGAGTTGCTTGGATCTATTCATTCATTTCATTCCCTCCCTCCCCTCGTCCCTTCCTCACTCGCTCACTTAGTCCCTGGCACTGTCCCTCCCTCCCTTCCTCACTCACTCACTCAGTCGCTTACTCACTGGCTCACTTGCTCGCTTAGGCATCCACTCGCTCAGTCGCTCACTCCCTCGCCCACTCACTCACCAACCTACTCATTCAACTATTGACTCACCCACCAACCTGCCCACTCGTCCACCCACCCACCTGCTGACTCCTCATCCACCCACTCACCCACCAACCAACTTGCTCCCTCAATCATCCACTCACCCACTCGCTCACTCACTCATCCACTCACCCACTCGCTCACTCATTCATTCACCCACTCGCTTACTCCTCCATTCACCCACTGACCCACTCACTCACCCATTCACATACCCTCTCACCCTGTAGACCACCGGCTCATCCACCCACTCACCCACTCACCCACCCACTCACCCACTCACCCACCCACTCAACCACACACTCACTCAACCACTCACCCACACCCACTCACCCACCTGCCCACTCACCAACCCACCAACCCACCAACCCACCAACCCACCAACCCACTCGCTCACTCAATCATCCACTCACCCACTCGCTCGCTCACTCATCCACTCACCCGCTCGCTCACTCATCCATTCACCCACTGACCCACTCACTCACCCATTCACATACCCTCTCACCCTCTAGACCACCGGCGCATCCACCCACTCACCCACTCACTCACTCACTCACTCACCCACTCACCCACTCACCTACCCACCCACTCACTCACTCAATTCGTCACTCTTGCTCAATCAGTCGCTTGCTCCATCTCCCCCTTGCTCGCTTTCTTGCCGACTCACTGACAAATGCACTTGTCTACTGACTCACTTACACATCCACTCTCTCAGTGGTTCACTCATTCTCTTGCTTTCTTCTATGTATACCTGTGTTGAAGCACCCAAAGGAGAACTGGGTGTCTATTTATGTTGGCAACGGAACCAATCATCGTTATCATTGTGAAGCCCGAGCACCTGTTTTTGCTCATTCACAAGGGCTTGATTTTGTGTCGAAACATTGCATGCTCGATCATGTGGTTACTGTCGTTGGTACTTGGAATATTGTGTTTGACCAAACCTACTCCTTGGCTTCGTCTTTGAAGCTTCTAGGCTGCTGCCACCACGTCAACCTCCTTGGATAGCTGTTGCTCCTTCCATGACCTTTTCTTCTCAGCCACAATCTTCTGGTGTGCCTGCTGCATATGGTCAGAAGGCGGACAGAATAGTCCTCAAAAGGTCCAAAGGACTTGTGCTGTTGCTTTTCCAACTTCCTAGCATTGTGATGTGTCATTGATGATGCATGTCATTGCATGCTCATCTGAAGATGAGCGGTGCAGATGTCCAAGGAGAGCCAGTGTGATGAACAGGACTCAAAACAAAACGAGATAATGCAATGTAGCGCAGCGGAAGACTCAAAGATATGACCTGACACATCAGATCCGGACTCGACTCACACAATCATCATCACACATGTCACACAGCAAGGACGGAAATCATACACAGAAGAAAGATCCCTCCTTGCGCACACACATGGGGAGAAACCACGGATGATGAAGGGGCAGGAGAGACGAAGATGGAGAGGGGAAATAGGATAAGAGGAGAACTCGTAGTCGTCCAAGAAATAGTCCCCCCGTCAAATGTCCAACCAATGTCTGTCCTCAAAAATGTCGAATCAGATTCTGGTCTCCATGGCCCGAAATAGGCACTGCCTGAAATCTCTCTCTCTCTCGCTCTCTCTCTCTCTCTCTCTGAAGAGGAAGAAGAAAAGAGGGAGGAGGAGAAGAAGAAGAACAGTGGCTATGGAGGACTGGAGAAGAATCAGGAGGAGGAGGAGAAGAAGAAGAAGAATTCTCCTCTCTCACGCCCTCCTGATGACGATAACGTGAATACTGACCAGCGAGGTGATGACTCCCGATGCAGGTCGCTGCTGAAGGCCGGCCCCATGACTGGTATGCAGTCCCAGCTATGGCGCCCAGGTAAGTCTCTCTCTCCCTCGTGCACATGGCCTCCCCCGAACCTCTCCACTCCAGCCTACTCTTCTAATCCTCCAGCGCTGCTCTATAGCAGCTCTCCCCAGAATGGCGCTGCTCCGGCAGTGTGACGCCCAAAGGAGGCTCCAGCCCGAATGTACTCAAAGTGGAGAACTGGCCCAGTTATATACCGCTGCCCCGGATCACCCTGGATATCCCACACACGCCACTCTGTTCACTCTCACACACTCACACACTGAACACTAACTACAGCTATGGCAGCTATGGCCGCCGCTACCCTATCGCTATGGCTGAGCTTCGTCTCTCTGCCCACTTCGTCTTCGGGCTTCACTGCAGACCACCTCGCACAAGTCGCTGTGGCAGCTGCCTCTTGATTTATACTTCTGCAGCTCGTTGGTCTGGCCCTTTCCCATGCCCGAAGTGCACACAGTCCCATGGGGTACTTGCTTGACTGGACCAGGACTGCCTAGGACTGCTGACTCAGCACGGGCAGACTCCACCACTTGCCTCACCACTTGCCCACTTGCGCCAGCCTAAACGTTGGACACTCCGAAAGGCCACTACTCAGACCTTCTGGAAGGCCGTAGACTTGGCCTTTCGGTACTGTAGAAGCTACGACTTTGACCCTTCTGGACTGTAGCAGCTACGACCTTTGACTCTTCGAGAAAGCTACAGCTACGACCTCTAGACCTGACTGAAAGTCCTATCCGACAGGTCTACAGATCGAACCCTTGCTACCTATGGACCCTACAACAACCTATCAACTGTTACAAATACACAGGTCGCGGGTTCAACTCTAGGGGTCGGCATAGGTACTGTACACAGGTAAGGTGGGAACTAGGGATCGAGCCCCGGGATCTGCATCAGCTACTGCGAACTAGTGAATACCGTTTCACTCCCGCCGACCTACATTCGAGGTCCTCCGAGAATAATTCAGTCCAAGGCAGGACCTTTACCTCTCTGATCTCTTTCGTAGGCTCTAACTATATCGGGAGCTGTCTCTAGAAGTTCTGCTCTAGTGAACCAGCGGTCATCCTCCGGCTCCTGATAAGCGAACCGGACCTTATACTGTTTCTGCGGACGACCTCTACCTCCTGTTCTAAACACATCTTCACCTACGATGCCGTCAATGTCATATCTGTCGTCCATGTCTGGAGGAATCATGGGCCGTCTAGATGGAAACTGTTGACTGGTGACACATGGCAGCAACTTTGATGCGTGAAACACGGGGTAGGTGTGGAGGTGTGCTGGGATCTCTATAGTATAGGACGGTCCATCCTCACGGTCCTCTATACGCAGGCAGTAACTTTTGCGAGATCTTCCCCTCAGGTGCAAACTCTTTGGACTTGACCCAGACCAGGTCGCCTACTTGAAACTGCGATGGGTGACCGTGCTTATTAGCCTGTTCTATCATCCGGTGCTGGGCCTTCCTGAGGTTCTCAACAACTGTGGCTATCTCTTTTTCATGCTGAATCGCGAACTCCCTGGTACCGGGCGGTAGCCTGTGAATCTGATCCGGGTTAAGTCCCTCAAACGGTCTACGTGCTCTAAAGGACTTGTGCAGCTCGTTGGGAGTGCGACAGGTGGACAAATGCATGCTGTTATTGTATGCACTGGCTTCCTTGGGTAACATCTCGTCCTAGTAGATCTGATCGGGTTTAATGTACATGCGCAGAACTTGCTACAGGATCTTGTTCATCTGCTCTATCTGACCGTTAGTCTCTGGATGGCGGCCAGACGACATCAACAACTTTGACCCATAAACTCTCATGAGTTCCTGCCAGTTTTGGCTGGTGAAGCGACTATCTCTGTCGCTAATTATGGACAACGGGACTCCATGCTCACTAACCCAAAAATCGAAAAACTTTTGAATGACTAATTCTGTGCATGGTAACTTGTTCAGGATGAAACCCCCGCCATCCGCATCGCCCACCTGAGAAACGTGGTGGCACACCTCAGGTGGGGAGTAGCGGCCCAGTGGAGGCTTGCCATGGCTGCCAAAAAAAAAAAAAATACTTGGCCATGTCTGACTGTTTGATCGCCGATTATGCAGCCAGTGATATCCAGCGGTCTCCGCAAGTGGAAACTGTCCCTGACGAGTAAGTTTTTTTTTTTTTTTTGGGGGGGGGGGGGGGGTTGTTAAAAAAACCAAGGTCGGATAGGTTGTCTACGGACCTCTTC